CAGAGAGAGAGAGAGAGAGAGAGAGAGAGAGAGAGAGAGAGAGAGAGAGAGAGAGAGAGAGAAAACTTACTCCTTACTCCTTATTACATAATAAAATCTCTGTGTTCAGGTGGACAAAATACAGCGCGTAGTGGTAGGCGGGAGTGCCCACACGGTGGCCATGGGCGGTTACACACAAGGTGGAGGTCACAGTCCTATAGGACGGGCTCTTGGGCTGGCAGTTGACAACCTGCTGGAAGCGACCCTGGTCCTTGTGGATGGCAGAGTGGTCACTGTCAGTGAGAAGGGGCAAGTCGTGCAGGTGGGTTGGCTGCTTGCTTGGTGTGAATGTACGTCGTAGATCTTTTTCTTGTTCTTGTTCTTGATGTTCTTGGTGTGAATGTACGTCGTAGGTATTTTTCTGGTTCTTGTTCTGCATGCTCTTGTTCTTGTCCTTTTTGTTCGTGTTTTTCTTGTTCTTCTTGCTCTCCGTCTTGTTTGTTTTTTTTGCTATACTCCATTTTTTCCCTTTTCTTCTTGATTTCCTTGTTCTTGTTGTCTCTTTTTATTCTTCTTGGTTTTGTTCTTTCTCTTTTTCTTCTTTTTGTTCTTGTTAATGTTCTTGTTCTTCAAATATAGCCGTTGCTCTTATAATCTATCCCACGCTTCCAGGATTGGCTATGGCAGTAGTGGTTGAAGCAGTTGGACTCCTAAACTGCTTTAGCGTGCGTTGATGTAAAGAATATAACATTCTCATGCGATAGACATTACACAACTAACAAACACCAACCAACCAACAAACAAACCAACAAACAAACAAACCCAAAATACAAGAACCCTCACCACCAGCAACGACAAAAAACTAACACCACCCCGCACCCCCCCCCCAAAAGAAAGGAAAAACAAAACAACAAACACACTACAACTGACTACAACAATAGCAACAAGGACAAAAATGACAACCACAACAGCAGAACAATAACAATAATAACAAAAACAATTGCAACTTTAACAACAACAACAACAATGACGACAAAACTATTAAAAACAATTACAAAAACAGCAGCGACAAAATAACCCGCAGCATAGCATCACTAACAACACTAAAACCAGCTCCAATACCACCACCACCACCTCTAATACCGACACCACCATCACAACGATCACCACCACCACATCCACCAAAGACAACAATAAAACGTTGCTTTTCATAAAGATTTATTTTCTAGCACAAGAAGTGGACGTCCGTGTGACAGAGAACTGTGACACCACCACCACAAACATCAACACCACCAACACCACCACCAACACCACCACCATGTGCACCACCGTCAATACCACCACCCCTACCACCAACACCACCACCCATACCATCAACACCACCACCTATACCAACACCGCCACCACCAACACCACCACCATGTGCACCACCGTCAATACCACCACCACCACCTCTATCAACAACAAAACCACCAACATCACCACCTATACCAACACCGCCACCACCAACACCACCACCATGTGCACCACCGTCAATACCACCACCACCACCTCTATCAGCAACAAAACCACCAACACCACCACCACCTCTATCAACAACAAAACCACCAACATCACCACCTATACCAACACCGCCACCACCAACATCACCACCATGTGCACCACCGTCAATACCACCACCACCACCTCTATCAACAACAAAACCACCAACACCACCACCACAACAAACATCAACACCAACACTACTACCACCAAAACTAACACCACCAAGACGGCTATCAACACCACCACCAGCAACACCAGCAACACCAACACCATCAACCCCAACACCACCACCGGCAACACAACCACCAACACCACCACCAACACCATCACCACCGACCAACACCAACACTAACACCGCCATCACCAACTCCAACAACAACACCAATATCAACACCACCACCATCAACACCAACACCAACATAACCATCAATGCCAACACTATCACCACCACCAATACCAACACCACCAATACCACCACCATCACCACTGCCACCACCACCACCAACACACCGTCAACAACAACTTCAGCACTACATACCAACACCACCGCCACCAAGACCATCACTACCACCACCACCAACACCGCCACCACCACCACCAACAACAACAACACTACCACCATCACTACCACCACCACCACCAACACCACCACCACCGCCACCAACACCACCACCCCCATCAACACCAACACCGCCTTCATCAACTCCAACAACAACACCACCCCCACCACCACCGCCACCAACACCATCACCACCACCACCACCAACACCACCAACATCGCCTTCACCAGCTCCAACAACTACACCGAAAACAAGAACACTATGCGTCTAATAAAAAGTTCTGTTCCAGGAAGTGGATGGGCGAGTGAGGGAGAACTGTGACACCTCTCTCTACTGGGCCATCCGGGGAGGGGGCGGTGGCACGTGGGGCGTGGTCATCAGCTTTACTTTCCGGTTGCACTTTGCCCCTCAGCGCGTGCGCAGAGTAATATCATCGTGGGTACTCAAAGCTGGCGAGGGTGAGATAATTTCTTTTTTCCCCCCCTCTTTTCTCAAGCTGTGCTGCTGTTGCTGCTGCTGTTGCTGTTGTTGCTGCTGCTGCTGCTGCTGCTGTTGTTGCTCTTGTTGTTGTTGTTGTTGTTGTTGTTGTTGTTGCTGTTGTTGTTGTTGTTGTTGTTGTTGCTGTTGTTGTTGTTGTTGCTGTTGTTGTTGTTGTTGCTGTTGTTGTTGTTATTGTTGTTCTTTTTGTTGATGCACCATTGATTACTTTTGTTATCAGGATGTTCGCTTTTTCAATCATTGCAATTATAGCCAATATCTTTTGGAACGCAAATTTTGTCCACAGAATAGTGGTAACACCCTGACCTCGGTACTAATTTGACGAAATCACACAGTGCACATTAAAGCAGGGAAAATTCTGTCTGCCATCTGCACCCCCCCCCCTGTTTTTTTCCCTCGTATAACAGAAAGAAAAGGGAAGCAAAAGACGAAGATTGGGGCGTATGACAGATAATTTACAATAACAGTTACTGTATTTATTTTCAGTTAAAATCGTCGGGAAGCTGACAATATGTCCTTAGTTGTTGTTAGTTTTTTTTGCGCATATGAGTCAATCGAAAAAATATAGCGATTTTAAAAACTTTTAAAATCATCCTTTTTTTCAGGAAATGGACATTTTAAGTTTAAAATAACGGCCCGGCACTTTTGAAAAAAAAAATCAATTCTAAATGATGCACCGTGAAGAGGAGAACAACAGTGGTTACATTCCATTATGGCCAAAGTCTATCTTAGATCATTAATGGTAGCGTCATGACCACATTCTAATTCAAAAGTTGTGATTTTTTTTTCTCTTCGCCCTCTAGTGGATCAGTTTGGGCGGGACACCGTCAAGTATGTCTCGGAGCAGCTCACGAACCTGTGCCCACGGTGGGGAGGATACATTCTGGTGAGTTGGCCAGGCTGTTTTCTGACTAGAATCTATATCATTCTTACATTATGATAGTTTTTGGTGAGATGAATTATGATTATATGAGGAAGCGGGGGGTATTGGAAGGGATTTATTAGTTGTTAGGAGTGGGGAGGAGGAGGAGGAGGGGCAGAAGAAGAGAAGTTGAGGAGGAGCAGGAGAAGAGAAGTTGAGGAGGAGGAGGAGGAGGAGGAGGAGGAGGAGGAGGAGGAGGAAGAGATGAGGAAATCCGAAAAGGGCGACGAGGACCAGAAGCAGGGCGAGAGATGGAGAAGAAGAGGAGGAGGACCAGGAGAAGAGATGAAGAGGAAGAGGAGAGATAAAGGAGGTGGAGGAACAATAGAATAATGGGAGGAGGAGTAGGAGAAGGAGGAGGAGCAGGAGGAGCAGGAGGAGCAGGAGAAGAGTAGTAGTGAAAGAGGAGGAAGAGGAGGAGGAAGAGGAGGAGGGAGTGGGGGTTAACTGGAAAATTGACCTGTATAGTGTATTATCTTCCAACAGCTGTCCGGAGACTACATTCCCAACACCACATACAGCCACACGCTGACTGCCTTCATGAACCACTTTGGCTCCGACGACGATCCTTGCAACAGCGACATTGATGGAATCTTGAGCTACAACGTCTCTGGAAATCAGGTGTGCTGAGCACGAGAACGTTTACAGTAGTCCGAATGTGTTTCTTTCTTTCTTTTTTTGTTTGTTTTGTTTTACTGCACAGGAGTAGGATGCGATACGATAATTCTTTCTGTGCATACGCTGGCACATTGGTTTGGTGTTTCGTCAGGCGCACAAAAAAACCACACACAGGCATACACACACAGACATATACACACAGAGACATAGATACACCTACAGACATACATACACACAGGCATACACACAGACATTTATACACAGAGACATAGATACACCCACAGACATACATACACACAGGCATACACACAGACATATACACACAGAGACATAGATACACCCACAGACATACATACACACAGGCATACACACACAGAAATACACACAAACACACACAGACATACACACAGACATACACACACAGAGATACACCCGCACGCACACAGACATACACCCACACAACACATACAGACGTACACACCCACAACAAATACAGACGTACACACCCTCGCACACATGCATGCATGCATACATACATACATACATACATACATACATACATACATACATACATACATACATACATACATACATACATACATACATACATACATACATACATACATACATACATACATACATACATACATACATACATACATACACGCATACACACATACACGCACATATACATTCACAATTAAACGCATACACACACACACACACACACACACACACACACCTATACACACATACACACTCACGCATATATATATATATATATATATATATATATATATATATATATATATATATATAAATAAATAAATAATATACACCCACGCACACACTCCCGCACACACCCAAACACACATTTTCTCGCAAGTTATCCTTTCTTTCACACACTGAAACACTGCTAGGTTATTTAAAAAGGCACAACCTCCAAGTTGAATGTCGATCTCCGATAGGACTGAGTTATAATAATATGGAAAACTCATGTAAAGGACGTAACGTCGGACCAAGATGAGCTTCGAAACACCGCAATCTCATGATTGCTTTTCGGTAGCCTGACCACAAGGCTACCGACGCCATGGGAATAATACCCCCCCCCCTCCTTCAACCCCCACCCCCAATATAAAAAAAACTAACAAAAACCAAACAAAACAAAAAACCCCAATCAACCAAAATAAAAAAACCCGAAAAGAAAACCCCATACAAACAAAAAACAAAACAAAACATGGAAGTGGAATGAAATAGTAATAAAGTAATAATGAAATGTAAATAATTACATTAATATGAATTTATTGTTTATGGAAACAAGACTGGTCCTATGGAAGGCGTCCTGTTAACCTAGTAGACATCATGCTATGGTTCTGATGACCCAGGTTCGAACACCGAAATGAGGCGCTCTTGAACTTAGGCTGTATACTGTATGTGAAAGTTTTCAAGGCTCTCCGCAAACTTGGCTAGATCATATCGGAGATGGACGTTCTATTCTACTCTTGAATGGCCCTGCTGTTTTCGAAGGGGTTTAAATAAATAAAAGAAATGAGTAAGTGAGTAAATAGATAATAAATAAATAAATAAATAAATACCTAAATAAATGATGAAGTATGACTTTATGAAAGCCGATGCCGTTACAATAGTAATTATATTGCCCCATCAGCCATTTACCCCAAAAAGATCCCAGACTTAAAAGAAATTGGTTAAGACTAACATGTAGATATCATTATGTAAATACAATCTTGATAAAAAAATTATTCATACTATGTTGATTTAGATTTTGTTTACTGATCAATTTCCATAAATTATGACTGAACCTCTTTTAAATCACAAACTAAAAAGAAATATAAGCAAGGAAACACACGTTTCTTTGTCGTGCTTACTTAATTACTCTCTCCCTATGATATACCGTCAGGCACATAAGGCGGAGAGCAGTGAATGCCACCCTTGTCGGTCTCTGGCCGCCTTCCCTAATCTCGGCACATCCAGGCCCTGGGTGATTGCCTCATCGCTAATTGTGCCTCACTAACTTCCAGTTGATCTATCTTTTTTTTTTACATTTACTTTTTTACTCTCTCCCTATACCGTCAGGTTCATAAGGCGGGGAGCTGTCGACGCCACTTTTGTCTGTCCCTGACCACGCCCTCCAATTTCGGCAAGGACGTGGCTATTCTCACCAGGGGTGAGAACAGCCTGTGTCTTGCTCATGTCACCCCCCTCAGGTGTATATGAGGCCTATAGCACAGACACACACAGAACAGCTCATTGAATAAGTTGTGCAGGCCTTGATAAGTTTCAGATTTAGTTTATGTAAGTGGCTGGGTGAAGGCCATTTCACACCATGAACAGGAAACAACAGTGAAAAAAATCCCGACAATTTCTTTTTTAAAACGAGGTACACTCTACGGTTATGCCGCCAATGAATTATGCAAGAACGAAATGTCATAAATAGAACGTTATTTTATTTTTGTACCTACCGGTACTATAGCCTAATTTTGAGAAGGCCATTCGATTATTTTTTTTTATAGCAAATTAATCAAGACTATGGCAACGGTAATCAGTAGTTGGCCTACATGAGGAAACACGCGCCCAGCACTCATGAATCATTACCCATCCACATGGTGTAAGCCATCAAGAGCTGAGGTGATTTTGTCGGCCTGCGAGAGGTCAGGGGTGAGTCCTCGCCTCATGCCCACTCCGGGGTGGGGATGAGAATAACGGGTCATGAGCTATTCTCACCAGGGGTGAGAATATAGGTGGCCTATCGGCAAATCCAGGCTCTGGGTGATTGCCTCATCCCTTATTGTGCCTCTATAGCTTCCAGTTGGTCTTTGTTTTTGTTTTGTTTTTCCAGTTGGTTTCCAATACCATGTGAGATAAGGAAATCTTGTCTTCGGCATTATTAGAACATGTCCTAGATACCTCCATTTTCTTCGTTTTATGTTTGTGTTGATATCTTCAATTCCATATCTTTCAAACACTTTATTATTTGTTACAAATTCATTCCATTTTTTAATAGTAAAATTCTTCGTAAATATTTTATTTTGAAGCTTTTAAATTTCTTTAAAATGTTTTGTTAGTTTTCCATATCTCTGAACCATGCGTGAATAAAGCCAAAATATTGCTATTATATATTTTTAATTTCGTCTTCAATGGAATGATCTTTTACTTCCATTATAGTTTTTAATTTCACAAAAGCGATCCATGTATTTTTAGTCTTTGGTGGACGTCGTCAAGACGGTCTTAAGTTTTGGATATAATGCTGCCAAGGCACTTGGATTTACTCATTTCTGCAAGGGGTTCTCCATAAAGAGTGATGGGCGTAGTTTCTGATGATAGTCGTAGTACTTCTGTGTTAGATACATTTATCATACGGCCAACTTTTTCGGCAGCTTTTGCTAGTTCGTCTGTTTTGATTGGATTTCATGTAGGCTACTGTGGTGTTTAATAGGCAGATGTCATTCGCAAAATCTTGATCTCCTAAATATGTGCCAGTTGTCTATCCAATGCGTTTCAATGAATTTTTGCTCTGTGTCATTACAAATTCGATCACAATTACAAAAAGTACAGATGATAATTTGCAGCCCTGTCTAAGACCAGTATTTAGTTGAAAAGATGTAGAATGTTCCCCTTCAACTAAGACTCAGCAGCTTGCATTGGTATATATATATATATAACGATTTTATACAGTTTCTTATTTTTGTACGGATGCCATAAATTAGAAGAATTTTCCACTGGGCCTCTCGGTCTACGCTGTCAAAAGCTGTTTTGAAGTCCACAAAATGCCACATAATTGGGACGTTCCATTCTTTGCTTTGTTCTACAATATTTCTAAGGTTGTTTTTTTCCGCTTTCTGTTGGTCCTGAGTAAAGAAGTGTTTTCTTTTCTTTCTTTAGAAACATTTTCCCTTGGCCAGGCCAGCGTGTCACACTCAGGCCTAATACGTCGAGGTGGTAGTTCAATATTTCTTTTGTTATTCGGGGCTAATTTAGTAATCTCCAGTTCAAACGTTCCAAAAGCCTATCTTGAGACGTTTATTGGTTTTTAGAAGGGAGCACCTAGGGCTATAAACCGTCATCTCAGTTCTTATCTCAACTGCTCCCCTTTCCCAACACATTAACAAGGTTAGTTACGTTTTCTGCTTTCCGTTTCTGTAACTTTCAAGTTTTTAGAAAATTATTATATGTTTCCGTAGCTGCTGGAGGAGACAACGCATGAGTTTCTGGTGGCCATTTTGGATAAAGTGTCCTCATCTGCCCTTTGTTGTTGTAGACATAAATCTCTTATCCACCAAGTACCCAGACTTACTTTACTTACTTTTTTCTTCCGCTTGTACCGGGGGGTGTCGCGGGGAGACACAGGCGTCTGTCTGCAGCAAGGCGAGTGGCCTGTAAGAGGGTCATCCCGTGGGCTCTGACATCCTCACTATTTGACTCATAGCTGAAAACTTCCGAGGACATGCTGAGTCATTTAATAAGAGTAGTAGAACCACAAAAATTACCCCACCTCACCATCTGTAGTCGTAGCCAGTTGGCACGCTGCTGCTTATTGGGTATTCGCAGCTAACCTCCATATCTGGAGGTCGTCCACTATCCGCCACCTGTGACGCGTTGGGTTGGGGGTGGTCGTCCCAGCTTTCCCCGCCTATCTTTTTAGATACATGTAATACTTACAAGTACATGACCAAATTATGTTGACAGCGCCGTGAAACATAATACTCTGTACCGTTCTGATTCCGCAGCTGGGAAAGAACGAGGTGAAATACCCTACGTTTCTCGGCTACGAACTCACAGCCAAAGACCCTGACTTCACCAACACATACATCGTCAACACGTTCGTCCAACCCGAGGCCTTGAGGGAGAAGGCCAGTCAAGAGGTTTTCGCAGACATTGTTCTCAGCCTGGGAAAATACGGTGCCGGTTGTGTAGGAGTGCTGATCGGAGGTAAGTTTGTTTGTTTGTTTGTTTGTTTGATGTTTGTTTGCTTGTTTGTTTGTTTATTTATTTGTTTGAAAAAGAAGAAAGGTAGGTGGGTGGGTAGGTGGGTAGGTAGGTAGGTAGGTAGGCAGGCAGGTAGGTAGGTGTGTGTGTGTGTGTATGTGTATGTGTGTTTGTGTGTGTGTGTGTATGTGTGTATGTGTGTATGTATGTATGTGTGTATGTATGTATGTGTGTATGTATGTATGTGTGTATGTATGTGTGTATGAGTGTGTGTGTATGGTGTGTGTGTGTGGTGTGTATGTGTGTGTATGTGTGTGTGGGTAGGTGTGTGGGTGTATGTGTTTGCATGTGTGCGTGTATGCGTGTGTGCGTGTATGCGTGTATGCGTGTCTGTGAGTCTGTGTGTCTGTGTGTCTGTCTGTCTGTGTGTGTGTCTGTGTGTATGTGTGTATGCGTGTATGTGTGTATGCGTGTATGCGTGTATGCGTGTATGTGTGTATGTGTGTATGCATTTTTGCAATTGAGAACAAAATTGCCCTGTGGGATCAATAAAAGTGTAATTTATTTTTAAAAATTATTATCATTAATTCCCACCAGGCAACATGGACAAAGTGCTGGCAGGTGACACCCCCGTCAACCCCAGCTTCCGGAGCGGCATCATGTCTCTGTCGTGTGGTGTCAACTGGGACGTGACGTGGGTCAACGAGTCGTACTACATTGACAATGCCCTAGAGTTTGGAAAAAAGATTAAGGAGGTGAGGAAGATCCATAGACTCGTATTGGCACTTATATGACTCTTTTTTTGTGCTAAAATTTAAGTGCCGTAAAACTGATACTAAAAGTAAAAACTTGGGGGTGGGGGAGAGGAGGCGAGAAACGCACACTCGACTACAACGACTATAAGTATGTGAGGCAGCGTGGGGAAATCAGGCTCTCGTCAAAATAATCAGATAGAAGAAACTTGCATTTTTCCACAGGTTTGTAAGTTTTCATCAAATTTTTGTTTTTTTGGCTCAACACCTTTCATGCCCATTAAAGAACTCATTTCTGTGTGGATTTTTCTGAAAAACGTTGATTAAAGGCATAAAAAAAGTAAATTTTCAGTAACCACGGACTCTAAAGCTAAGGAAATAAGTAATATTTGGCAGCCATTTTCTCACTAATTTTACCTCTGAAAACAGGTGACCCCCACCTCCTTCATTCGCAAATATCTCGACTTGTATTCAGGATAAATGGATATTTTTTCATCTAAATAAAGACAACTGAACAAGCTTTAAGATGATGCCAATAACTCAACATGCCCAACATTTGACGAGAGCCTGATTCCACCACACTGCCTTACATATACCCTTTACATTGGGTGTGTAATGGGGCGGCCCATGGTGCGCATATTTGCGAGTTAGGAACGGCGGTATATCAGAGCGCGCCTGGGAGAATTAAGAACTGTCCTCTCCCCCCTTCCAGCTACCCTCGCCTTTTTCCATCTCTTAATCCATTCTCATCTCCTACTCCTATTCCTACCCATTGTCCTCATCCACTTTCTTCTTTTTCTCCTCCGTCTTCTTCTGTCGACCCCTTCCTCCTCCATCGCCGTGTCGTTTTCTCTTTGTATAATACTGATCATGAGGCCCATTATAATTTTTAAAATGAAAAATACCCACAGAAAACGAACCAAAATCATTTGTATATATATCGTAAATTCTCCCTCAACAGCAAGCTTTATGCGCTTTACAATCTGCATCTCTATTTCCCACCTCTCTAGGTGGGTGCTGGTGTCTACTTCAACGAACCTGACGAAGATTTGGACAATTGGAAGACAGAGTTCTGGGGTAGCGAGGACACATACTGCAAGTGAGTTGTTGTTGTTGTTGTTGATGATGATGATGTTGTTGTTGCTGTTGTCGTCGTTGTTGATGTTGTTGTGGTTGTTGTTGTTGTCGTTGTTGTTATCGTTGTTACTGTTGTTGTTGTTGTTGTTATTGCTGTTCTTGTTGTCATTGATGCTGTTGCCATCGCTGTTGTTTCTGCTGCTGTTGTTGTTGTTTTTGTTGTTATTGTTGTTTTTGCAGTTTCTGTTGTTGTTGCTGTTGTTGGGGTTGCTGTTTGTGTTGCTGTTGTTGCTGTCGTTGTGTTATCATGCTACACTCTAAAGCAAGTGGCCCTGGTTCGAGTTCCCAAAGGTTGTTTTAGGGAGTTTTTCAGGGTCTTCACCCAATTTGACTCAGTCCTATGAAAAATGGACTTCAAACTAGGAAGATCTTCTTAATCGAGCTGACTGTTCCTTACGAAAGTAGGAAGATGGAGAGCACCAATTCAAGTTGGCAAAATACGAAGATATCTCACATCAACTCCAAGGAGAGGGCTATAGCTCCAAGGCCAATCCAGTAGAAGTGGGTGCACGCGGGTGTGTCGCAGCCTCAATATTTACACTGCTAGGCTTCAAAGGCAGGAAGAGACATCAAGAACATTTCAGAACTGGCAGAAAAGAGTTCAAGCTGGCTGTGGACGAGACGGAAGGAAAGCTGGGCCAAATAGAACAGACATCAGATAGGAAAGTGTAGTAGATTTTTGTATAGCTTCGCATTTGCTATTTTTCGCTGGAGGCTCCTTGGCATTGCACGAAAACGAACGGACTGAAGACCCGGAAATATTCTACCTCATGACTCTGCGTAGACTTCTTCGGAGAGATAGTAACGTTAGTAGAGGGTCGATTTGTAGATAATGCCAGGGACAGTGTGCTATGCGTTTATATGGTAGGGGCGCGAAGGTCGCCGTGTCACGACACATGCTCGTCGTGTCAACTTTTGCACGCCGTGCTTGAGTAACCCAGACTTCCCGTGCAAAGTTTTTACACGGCGAGCTATACTTTAAGCCGCAGAGTATGAAATTTAACACGGCTACCATTCAGATCTCGTCGATGTGTCACTGTCCAGTGTCACTCGGCAACTTATGAAACTTTGCACGACGAGCTATTTCTGACACTCCCCGAGTTCTCCTCTAGATTTTCCCGAGCGAGTTATTGACGGCGAGTGTCTCCCCGAGTGCTCACCGACACAATAATGTCAACAGTCATGGCCAGGTGCTCGTCACGATTAAACCCGAACTTCACATAGTGTTGGAAGGAGCGTTAAATCTACTATTTGAATGACACGACATGGTGGAATAAGGCGCTCGTCAATTTTTCAACACGCGGAGTTATTGGTGTCATCTTAAAGCTGGTTCATTTGCTTACGTTTAGATGAAAAAATACCCATCCATTTTTAGTAGAAGTAAAGATATTTGCTATTGAGGGAAGTAGAATCACCTGATTTCAAGCGTATAATGAAAAAGAAAATGGCCGCCAAAGCTTGGTATCTTCCAAAGAGTGAGAGCTCTTGGAAACGGAGCATTTACATTTTTGTGCCTTTAAGCAAAGTTGTTTAGTTAAATCCACGAAGAAATTTTTTTTGGTAATAGGCCTAAAAACTGTTGAGCCGAATTTTAAAAAAAAAAAGAAAAAAAGTGTCAAACCGGCAAAAAAAATGCCGTTTCTTCAATTTCATTATTTTGACGAGCACCCGATTTCACCACAATGCCCCATTTTTGTTACTCCACAGACTGGATGCCATCAAGCGCTGGGTGGACCCGAGCAACTTCCTGTGGTGTCATAATTGCGTCGGTTCGGACTTAAGCCGTGATTGTTCCCCATTCTATACTTTTAAACATGCCATCGACTACGCCTTTTGCTCAGTGACGAGACTGTGAGAGGGGCGCACCGGGATTTAAAAACATTTTCTCACACTACTTGAATTCGCAGTTTTCACGTTAATTTTGTTTATTTAATTGTTTTTCATTCATTCATTCATTCATTCATTCATTCATTCATTCATTCATTCATTTATGTAATTTCTTATTTAAAAAAAAAAGAAATTAACGCCCACCTCCGATAGGACCGAGCCAAAATATGAAAATGCGTGTTAAGTGTGTCTCGCAAGGATACAACGTCGGACCGAGCTGAATGGGAACCCCTGTTCTTGCAATCTCACAGTAGCGTAACCACGATACGACCAACACTACAAGCCTTAAAATGTATAAAAGTGTGTTTATAGTGATTGTAAATGAGCGAACTGCATATTATATTTTACTCGCCATCAACACAATGTTCGTTAATTAGGAGGTCGGTGGATTTGACGGTAAAGGGACGATGAAATGAAGCGTACCTGAAGATAGCCACTCGGTGATTCTTCGTACGATAGCTTCCTCAAAATGGGATTTGAACTTACACCATCTGTGCGCAATGGCAATTAGCTGTGGCGAAGCGTCTATATAATCAAATAATCATTGCCCCCCTTCCTAATTTTGAAACATTGTCACATCTAAAAAGACGTTCATAATCACCAATGAACAGTATGCCTAACATTCAAAACTGTTTCATTGCCACAGAAATAGCCTGTTCACCCCTATCGGGCCACTCAATAAGCAGTCGTAAGCTTTGATTAAGTAAGCTTGCAGTGAGGCTGGAAGAGTCTACCAAAAGAGTTGACGGGAACATGTATAGAGCACACAAAGCTGTTTCATTGCCACATATACCCTGTTCACCCCTTTCGGGCCACAGTTATAAGCAGTCACAAGCACTGATTATGTAAGCTAACTATTACACCGGTCGAGCCTACCTCACAGATGTGAGGGGAACTAACTCCAAATAATATCTTGACTACTGCGAGTTCTTGTTTTTTTTTATCCTCGACTTTTTACCGTCCTATAATCAGATCGTAACCTCGATTATGACACCGGCTCCTGGCCGCGAAACGCTAGACAAAAACAGCCAAATGTGAAATAAAAAATTAATCAATGTCATGCTCTACCAAAGAGTTTAGACACACTGGTGTTACATGTAGAACTGACATCTCTGCTTCTTTGCTTTGTGTTTATGTATTCATATCTAAAGATAAATTTAATGTTTGTGGGAGTAAATATTTAATGAAATAGGATACTTTTCCGATTATTTTAGAGGTTGAACATGCATACAACATGAATTTAGGAATTGTTTTCATTCTCAACTCAGCGTTGCCGCTTCGAGTAAGATTTTTGTGTGATATCTCGAGGCCCTATTTGGTCACATCTCACTTTGATTACCCTGTCAAGCAAGTCAGCCTTCGCCCCTGGCAATTAGCCTAGACGTACACCTGAGATCGTAGTTAAGATTAGTAAAGAGCAGAGAGCTTTTTGTATAGAACATTTCCCCACCACCAACTGATTTCGTAAGTTTGGCACAAGGTAGGCCCTTAAGGCCTTTTGTTTTAAAAGGTGGAAATGGTCCTTTAGTTAAGACCTGCAGAGAATCAGACCTAAAAATTTCCAGGCAAAACGACCACTTCAGACCAAACACACACTGTTCACACCCTGTAAACGTCACCAGGGTACAGAATTCAGTAGATGTGCCCCATGAGATATCTGCCCATAGACGGTGTCTGCAGGAATGACTTTCCTATATCTAAACAGTCCGCATTCTCAAGGCAGATCTTCATCTACGACTGTACGTACCTTTGGAATGTGAACTGTTCATACAATACCAAAATTCGTATCAATTTAAAAAGGAAGGCATTCATTTTGACACTATAAACATTCTGTACCCTAAGAGAAGCAACCAGACGAAATTTTTTTTTAAAATCTAATAGAAGAAATAAATAAAACATACCCTATACAAATCTACAGGCAATCTCTTGCAACTGATAATATCCAAATTAATCTATACTTTTTTTTTGGTAAAGTGTTTTACGGCGCTCGCAACTGCATAAGGTCATATGAGCGCGCGGGACACACCTAATATTTTCAGTTGGTAGGAAATTTTGAATTTTGCCCAGG